CAGCGAGAATGGTACCCGTGTCCGAGTCTTGCGACCCAGGGAGGCGCCCTCCCTGGGCGATCCTGTGGGCCGCCTCCTTCGCAGACGTGGAGGTGTTCATGCCGATCGCCCTGACTTCGGCGTAGAGTTGGATAGCCTCCTTGTGCTGCTCCTCGCGGCCGGCGAAGTGAAGTTCGAGCATGCGCGTGGAATGTCTCAGCCCCCCCACTTCGCTTGCCTCCTCCTGCCCTGCTTGAGCGAGCTCTTCCATCTTCTTGTGCATGCTTGCCGACATGTCGAGGCTGCGATGCGTGGACTCGCTGATGCACCTTCCTCGTTCCTTCATTTGCTGCGAGGCTGCGTCTTCCAGCTCGGCAGCTTGTTCCAGGTCAGCGAGGCGAAACTCCAGAGCACGAGCAGGCTCGTTCTCCGCTACCTCCTCGCGTTGTTCGAAGTCCTCGCGCTGTTCCCCCAATCTGGCCTGCAGGGCGTGTGCCTCCTGGCGCAGGCTGGCGGCATGGATCTGGGCGTCGTGCGCGGCCGCTTGCTCGGCCTGGGCGTGCTCCGCCGCTCGGTGGGACACCTGTTCAGCCGATCTCTGCTCGGCCAACAGCATCGCCCTGCTTCTCTCCTCTGCCTCCTCGGAGTCTCTCTGCAGTGCGAAGTGAAGGGCCTGGACTTCGAAGTTGGGCTGGGGTATAGCTGCCGCGGCTGTGCATGCTGCCTCCGCCCTGGCCGCGGCCTCTGCCTCTCGCCAGGCCTGTTGCTTAAGCTCCACCTCGCTAGCCTCCAGGGCCTTTGCGCGTGCCTCCGCCCTTTCAATTTCCTTCTGCTGGTGGGCGACGGTCTCGGTTATCCTCTGCAGCTGCTGCTGGGTCTCATGCGGGGGGCTGCCCTTGCCCTTGGCTTTGGCAAGATCCCGTGCCATCGCTTCCCATGTGCTGGCGCTGCCACTCTTCCTTGGCTTCCTGAAGCTCTGCGGCGTGGCTAATCCTCATCGCCTGGCAGGTCTGCTGAAAGGCTGCGTCCAGCTGCTGGAGCTGCTGGCGGTGAACTCCAGCAGCGGCTGCAGCGTTTGTCGACTCGTGCTGCGCCTGCATCGTGGCCTTGACTGCCTCCTCCTTGGCAGCATTCAGCTCACGCTGGGCTTCGCCTTGCCCAGCTAGTGGCTGTTCAGTCAGCTCGGCCTTCGCGACCGCCAGCTGAGCGATCAGTCCGTTGGCTCGGAGTCGCTCCGCGTTGGCCTCCTTCTTGGCCTGGTCGTATGCCGCTGTGCTGGCCTTGATGTCCAGGCGTAGCTTGGCCTGCTCCTGCTCCCCGTTGCGATGGAGCGCCTGTTGCCTTGCCGCAGCCTCTGCCTCTGCGGCACCCCATCCTCAACTGCCTCCTGTCTCCTTCTGGCCTCCTGGGCTTGGCGCTGGGCCTCCTTTTCCGCGGCTGCCTGCTGCGTCCTCTCGACGAAGTCCCTGCTGCCAGCCGAGCTCGCGCAGGACCTCGGGGTCTTGGGCGCGGGGGATCTCCCTGCCGGCCACTCTGCTGCGCCTCCTCTGCTGGCGGCCCTTTGCCGGTTGTCCACGATGATCTTGTGGTGCCTGTCCCAGTCACACGCAAAGGACGCCGCGCCCGCGCCTTGGTGCTCGCTGTCCTCCTCCTCATTATCGCCGAACCTGCCCTCGTCAGCGAAGATGGCCTTCGTGTCGCGGATGTTGGCCTCTACGAGCTTGAGGGCGTCCTGCATGAAGTGCAGCTCGGTCGAAAGCTCCTCAACCTTGGATTTGGCGCTGGTGATCTTCTCCAGAAGTTCGCTGCGCCTTAGCTCCTTGAGCTGGCCCTCGGGGTGCCTCGTGATGAGACTCTGGTACTTGATAAGGGCCACCTCTTTCACCGTTTCGGTGGTCTCGGAGCCAGCACCTCGAGCAGCCTGAAGGAGGTTGCCCAGCTGCCTGGGCCTCTTTTCCGTCTGCGACAGGAACTTGCGAATTCCCGGCGCGTCGAAAGGCGGGGGCTCCCAGCGAGGGTGCGCCAGCGCTTCCTCGAGCGAGCGCGCGACGATGGCATCGAGCAGCTTCTGGGCGTCCTTGTCGCCCTTTTGCGTGCTCTGCTGCCCTCCCGCCTGTCCGCCAGAGGTGCCAGCTGCGCTGCCCGCGGCACCTCTGCTGGCCCCGCGCCGCCGTGACCTGCCGTCTGCCGAAGCTTCCGCCCATGGCCTTGGTCTAGCCTCCTGCTGGGCGGACTGGCCGGCTCGGCGGGGCTGCCACGGCGCCCAGTGCCCCTGATCGTCCTCTCCTGCGGCTGCCGAGCGCCAACGTTGGTCACGCCAGCCTGGTCCTTGCCAACGCTCCTGGCGCCAGGGCGGCGCGGCGGCTGGGCCTGGCCTTTGCCGCTGCGACCGCTACCGCCTCTGCCCTTCCCATCGCGTGCCATCGTGGGCTGGGCGGAGTGGTGGGCGGCAAGGCGCTCGGCCGCCGCTTGCAGGCGGAGGAGGAGCCTGTCCTGGTCTCTCCGATGCCTCTCGCGGCGATGCCAGGCGGGCTCCCCGCGCGGCGTGTTGGCGAGCTGGCCGCTCGGACCGCGGCGCGGCCGGCGGCGGGCGCCCTCGGCGCCTGCTGGCGGCAGCGCAGCGGCGGCGCGGCGCGGCTGCGGGGCTATGGCCCGTCCCGCGGCGCGCTGCCCACGGCCGAATGGGGGCTGGCCGCGACGAAGGGGAAGGGGGCGCGACGACCACGCGCCCCCCCCGGCCCCCCCCCCCCCGGCGGCGTACCCCCTCAGCCAGTGGCTGGCCTAGGGGGCCAGCGTGTGCCTGACGGCCTCACGAGAAGACTGCGAAAGGGCCCCAGAGTCCCTCCAGAGCATCCCAAGAGAGACCCAAGGGCCCCACGATACCTCCAACAGGCACTGCGAGGTTCCCATGAGGGCCAAATTTGGCAAGTTTTCTGGGCTCAACAGGGGGCACCGATTGCATCGCCCCTGCCGTTCGTCGCTGGCTGCCCTTGCTTTTACTGGTGGTGTTTTTGTCGCTGTTGTTTCGAAGAGTAAATTAAAACAGTGATTTAAATGTGGGTGCATTTCCTTGTTGTATATCTCCCCCTCGTGGCTCGACTCAAACCCCCGCTGTGGGACGGCCTCGGGACGACGGCTCGCCCAGGGACTCGTTGCTGGATGGGCTGGAGGGGGCACACGACGCCTGAGACTGAGATCGACTCAGATTCCAGCGCGTGGACAACAGATAAAAGGACCAAGACTACAGGACAGGTTTTAATACATAGGATTCTTAATATATAGGAATTTCCATACATGATTAATTCATGAATGAATTAATGCATAAACTCATCCTTGCATGTATTAATCAACCCTTTATTTCTAATACATGGTCCGCACGCGGAGCATGTATTAAAACTGGCTCTGTAGTGGCAACTTCCGGACCTATCGGCGGAGCAGGGCAGCAGGGCCAGTCGGGACGAGTCGAGCTAGCTGCGATTGCCCGCGTTGTATCAACAGTGCAGGCCGACCAAAGCAGCGGGTCAAGCGAGCGCCAGACGAGGCTCGTGACAACTTCTGGCTTTCCCGAAGTCAAGGTCGGGAAATCTAGTGGACTCTAGCAGAGTTAGTTTCGGGAACTACGGTTGGCGGCAATCCAATCGATTGGGCAAGTGTCGAGAAGCCTCGTTGGCGGTGATCGGGGCTCGTGGGGCTGGTGAGGGCTAGCGTTGGGAGCATTTTTTTTCAGGAGGAGTTGGGGCTGGTGTTCGGAACCAACGTTGGCAACACAGGCCTGGTGGAGGCACTGTGGGGGCGAGTGTCGGAAACCAGAGTTGGCGGCAGCCACGGCTAAATGGGCCAGTGGAGGCGAGTAGGTTGGTGTCATAGGCAGAGTTGGCCTTAGTCGCAGCGAAGGGGGCCAGAGGGGTCAGGAAGGTCTAGCGTCAGGAACTAGCGTTGACAGCAACCAGGGCTAGCGGCAAGGGCTGACGAGGGCTACTGCCGGAAATCAGCGATGGTAATCAGGGCAGGTGGGGCGAGAGCGAGGCTAATGACAAGCGAGAACTTTCAGCACCAAGCATGCCCAGAAATGGCTGGTGCCGGAAATCAGCGTTAGTGGCCTGCGGGAGCCCGCGAGGTAACTGGCCAGGGCAATCCGCCGCAGCGTCGCAGATGCGCCCCGAAACCGACAACGCGTGCCCGACACCCTCTCCTGAACTCCGCAAATGGGAGGAGGAGGAGGAAGATGAGGCGGAGGAGGAGGAAGAGGAGGAGCACGGGGAGGAGGAGGAGGAGGAGGAGGAGGAGGAGGAGGAGGAGGGAGGAGGAGGAGGAGGAGGAGAGAGGAGGAGGAGAGAGGAGGAGGAGGAGGAGGAGGAGGAGGAGGAGGAGGAGGAGGAGGAGGTGGAGAGGGGAGGAGGAGGAGGAGGAGCAGCAGGAGGAAGAGGAGGAGGAGGTGGAGGAGGAGGAGGAGGTGGAGGAGGAGGAGGAGAAGGAGGAGGAAGAGGAGGTGGAGGAGGAGGAGGAGAGAGGAGGAGGAGGAGGAGGAGGAGGAGGAGGAGGAGGAGGAGGGAGGAGGAGGAGGAGGAGGAGGGAGGAGGAGGAGGAGGAGGAGGAGGAGGAGGAGGAGGAGGAGGAGGAGCCACCCTCCTCGCTTCCGCAAAGGGAGCCACCCTCCTCTTGCTTCCGCTGGCTTGCGCAAGCCTCCTGCCACCCTCCGCTGGGGAAGAGACGCTGGCCTCCCGATCCCTTCCAGGCGAGGCCAGAGGCCTCCTGGATGGGGTCCGAGTAGCTGGGGTCGGAGGGTTGCACCGCATCGCCGACGTGTCGGCGATGCATCGGCGACGTCGGCGATGCATCAGCGACGCCGGCGTGGAGAACATTGGGCCCCACATCGAGCTGCATCGCCGATGCATCGGCGATGCGGCGCGATCCTCGGACCCCGTCTGCTCGGACCGCGCTTGAGAGGCCTGGCTTCCAGGCGAGGCTCCTCCTGGAGCGCCCCGCGAGGAGGCGGAGCGCGCCGCCCGCTAGGCGCCCGCCAGCGCCAGCAGCACGCCAGCGAGCGGCCTCGTGCGCGCTGGCCCGACTCGGCCAGCCATGCGGCGGCGCGCGGCGGCCATCGCGCGACCGGGGGCCTCGCTCGGGGAGGGGGCCCGGGCGGCCTGGGGCAGGAGGCCTGCCTTGAGGAATCAGGCGGAGGATAACGGCGATGATGACGACGATGACGACGCTGAGGATGGTGGTGGTGGTGGTGGTGATGATGGTGTTGGTGGTGGTGGTGGTGGTCATAATGATGACGATGACGATGATAACGATGGCGATTGTGATGGTGATGGTGAGCGTGATGGTGGTGGTGGTGATGATGATGATGATGACGATGCTGCTGCTGATGATGACGATGATGCTGCTGAGGCTGATGATGCTGATGCTGGTGACGAGGATGATGACGACGATGATACTATTAATGATGATGGTGATGCTAGTGATGATGGTGATGCTGCTGCTGATGATGATGATAATGCTGATGCTGATGCTGATGCTGATGCTGATGCTGATGCTGATGATGATGATGATGATGATGATGATGATGATGATAAAGATGATACTGATGGTGATGGTGGTGGTGATGATGCTGATGATGATTAGGACGAGGATGATGATGAAGGCGGAGGATGAGGAGAAGCAGAGAAGCACGACGAGGAGGAGGATGAGGAGAAGCAGAGAAGCACGAGGAGGAGGAGGATGAGGAGAAGGAGAAGGATTCTTCCCCCCTCCTTCACCGTCTCCAGTGAGGCCTGAGCTGATGGCACGTTAGGCTGAGCTGACCTCATGCGGGTTCGGCACATCATAGGAAGGGCATGCCTTGAGCACAGACGGGATGACCAAATGGGGGTAGACGCAGATGCCTCGGGGCATCCAGTGGCATGCATGGGAGGACTTCTGCTGCCCCTTGAAGGCCAATGATTAGGTAGTGGGGGCGGAGGAAGACGAGAATCAATCGAATATGAACGGCGTGGGTCGAGCTGCAGCGTTGACGAGAACTGATGCCCTCTGCTGGGCGGGCGGAATTTTGTCTCCATGGGTCACCGTCATCATGGTAGGCATGGGGATCGGATGGGGACGAGGACAAGGATGAGGATGACGATGACGACGACAACGACGATGGTGATGATACTGATGATGATGAGGATGCTGCTGATGATGATGATGATGCTGATGTTTATGATGATGTTTATGACGATGCTGATGATGCTGCTGATGATGATGACGGTGATGATGCTGACGTTGATAGAGATGATGCTGATTCTTATGATGGTGATGATGATGCGGATGATGAGGATGATTATGCTGCTGCTAATGATGATACTTGTGATGATGGTCATTAGTATGATGATGATGATGATGATGATGATGATGATGATGATGATGATGATGTTAATGATGATGATGCTGATGATGATGCTGGAGATGATGATGCTGATGATGCTGATGCTGATGCTGTTCATGACGATGCTGCTGCTGATGATGGTGGTGATGATGCTGATGCTGATGATGCTGACGATGCTAATGATGCTGATGCTGATGATTATGATGCTGATGATGATTGTGCTGCTGCTGATGATGACGATGATGACGACGATGATGATGATGATGATGATGATGATGATGAGGATGATGATGATGACGATGATAATACTGAAGATGATGATAATGAAGATGATGACGATGACGACGAGGACGAGGAGGAGGTGAAGGAGGATGGGTAGGAGGATGCGGAGGATGATGCTGATGATGACGATGCCGATGCTGCTGCTGATGATGATGACGACGATGAGGAGGCTGCGGCTGAGGATGCTGATGAGGTTGCCGGCGAAGCGAAGGCCGATTATGAGGAGTGAGCTTGGGTCGAAGAAGACATGGCGCTGGCGGGCCCGCAAGCAGCATTATGGGAGCAAGGGGAACCACCTCCCTGGGGGCGGGACCTGGACCTACCTGTACTGACGGGGGGGGGAAGAGGGCCTTGTGACCACGTGTTTAGCCTGGATTCGAGGGGGAAAGGTGATGCTCCACTTGGATGGTGGTGGTGGTGGGGGGGAGGGGGGTAGACGTGGAATCTGGAGAGGGTATGCGGAGCTTGACGATGAGGAGGGGGAGGGCCGGCTTTGGAATTTCGCTGCATCGGGACAGGGCATGACACCCGAAACGCCGATGTGAACATACTCGCAAGCCCACAACTGTCCTGAGATCGATCCGAAAATTGTCGCTGCACTGTAGACATGCGCACCCGCCGCTACGGAGTGCAATTTCATCCTCGACCTGAAACGTAATCGAGAACGGGATAAGCGGCTGAAGCACTAGATGTCCTCGCTTATGATCTTGGCGTAGGGAGAGCAGGAGGAGCAGCAGCAGCAGCAGCACGAAGGAACGCCATGATGGCGAACCAGAGTGAGACAAAACGGAGGCCCGTACGCGCCACAATGCGCAAACGCTGGCAAGCCTCCTCCTCCTCCTCCTCCTCCTCCTCCAGCCTTCGCGCAGGAGCGCATACGTGGGGAGGGTATTACGATGACGATCAAGAACAGGCGGATGAGGAGACGGAGGAGGAGGAGGAGGAGGAGGAGGAGGAGGAGGAGACGCAGGAGACGGAGCAGGAGGAGGAGGGGAAGGATGAGGCGGAGGCAGAGGAAGAAGAGAAGGAGGAGGAGGAGGAGCAGGAGGAGGAACGATCGGGAAGCAAGGAGGGAGCAGGAGGCTTTGACGGGGGTCTTTTACCGTCGTCCTCAGCATCTATTCTCTGCCTGCTCTGTAGGCTCAGTGCGCATCCAGCCACGCTCAGCCTCGACACCCGGCGCAGGGATGAGACCTCACCGCGCGCAAGGTCTGAGCTTCGAATGGCGAGCTTCGTTGGGACGACTGGTCGGCCTTGTGGAGAGGTTCGAACGCTGGTAGCGGCGACGTGGACTTCGTGCGTCGCTCCTCGCAAGCGGTGCAGTTCTCCTTCGTCGACGGCGCCGAAGCTTGGCGGTGGAATTCGGGCGCGCGGTAATGAAGCGTGGAAGTGCCACTCCCCTCCAGCCATGCGCACTGTTGACTGAACTCGTTTGGCTTTGGCCTCAGAGCTGCTGACGGCGCTGTGCCTACCAGACGAGGAGCGTGACGAAGAACGCGAGCTTTTAGAACAGAGAGGACATGGTTTTGCCGATGCATTGAGGTATGCGCTGTGGCAAAACCAGCCACGTCCTGCGTGCGGTAACACTGCAGCGTTTTGTCAAAACCAACCAGCGCTATACATACGGCGCCTATGAAGCTTTCGGCAACACGGTCCCTCAAGGACTCCAGCGTTGACAACTCAGGGGATACACAAGTGAGACTGCAAGCGATCAGACGATGTGAACGCCAACAGAGGGGGACGTCGCGTCGGGTACGGGCCCGTGGTCGATTTCAGGAACTTGCACCCTATGTCAACGGAGCGGGAGCACGGACCACGACGAGGATAAGGAAATGAGGGAAGAGGATAAGGAAGAGGGGGGAGGGATGATAAGGAGGACGCGGAGGAGGCTCAGGTGGCGGAGGAGAAGGGGGAGGAGGAAATGGAGGCCTAGGAGGAGGGGGACTACGAGACAGAAGGAGCAAAAGGAGGAGAAGGGGAGGAGGAGGTGGATGAGAAGGGGGAGGAGGAGGATGATGATGAGGAGGAGGGGGACGATGACGAGGAGGAGGAGGAGGAGGAAAACGAGGAGGGGGAGGACGGGGAGGAGCAGCAGCAGGAAGAGGAGGATGAGGAACACGAGGAGGAAGACCAGGAGGAAGACGAGGAGGAGGATGAGGAGGAGGGGGGGGAGGAGGAGGAGGGGGGGGAGGATGAGGATGAGGATGGATGAGGATGAGGATGAGGATGAGGATGAAGACGACGACGATGATGATGATGATGATGCTGATGATGATGTTGATGCTGATGCTGATGCTGATGATGCTGATGATGCTGATGCTGATGATGATGCGGAGGATGAGGATGAGGAGGACGACGAGGAGGAAAACGAGGAGGAGGATGGGGAGGATGGGGGAGGAGGAAGAGGAGGAGGAGGCGGATGAGGATGGATGAGGATGAGGATGGATGAGGACGAGGACCAGTGTAAATCCAAGAGCTATCAACGATGTTGGAATCAACCCTCCGTCCAAGCTCCCTCTTCATAGACCCCTACAAGGGTTCATTTCCACTGCGGGAACTGCTTCGATGGAAGACACTGGTGCATGCCAAACCATCGTTCTCAGGATTCCGACGCCACGGATCAACCTGACTGTTGCGTCTTGACGATCCTGAATCGTGCCAGAACGCAATTCCTGGGACTTCAACACCGCGAATCAACGTAACTGTTGCGCCCTCGTAATCCAGAATCCTTCCAAAACGCCACTCCTGGTACGCTGGTCATGGGAATCCCTGACATTCTTGCATTTTTGGTATAAGCAAACATGTGCGCGGCGCTAAAGCGAGAACCACATTTAAAAGGAACGGCCCTCAGTCCGTGAATATCTTGCACATTGTAAAACGAGTGTGCGCGGCGCTAAGGCGCGAACAACATTTTGAAAAAGAACCACCCTCAATGCGTGAAGCGCTTGCAAATGTTAAGCAAGAACTGTGCGCGGAGCTAAAGCGAGAACCACACTTTGAAAAGGAACCGCCCTCAATCCGTGAAGCTCTTGCAATTGTTCCCAACCATCCTGTGGTGTTGGGTCCTCGTTTTGAAGAGACGGCGCCCCGCGTTCTCCTCCTCCCGCCTCCCTCCTCCTCCCCCTCCTCCTTCCTCCCTGCGTTTCACCCACTCAGTACAACGTTTCGTGGCCCCATTGGGAGCTCCACCGAAGGCCCCAGTGCCACCGCCCGCATGCGTCCAAGCAACCATTTCGGCTCACCCCTCACACGTTTCGTGGCCCCATAAGGAGCTCCACCGAAAGCTCCAGTGCCACCGCCCGCATGCGTCCCCCGCACCGATTTCGGCACACCCCTCACACGTTTCGTGGCCCCATAGGGAGCTCCACCGACGGCCACAGTGCCACCGCCCGCATGCGTCTCCCACACCGATCTCGTCACACCCCTCACACGATTCGCGGTCCCATAGGG